GGCTCAATGCAAGCACTTCTTGTTGAATCCTTGAGCCATGGTGGCCAGGCACCATGCTGGGAGCCAAGGGGCCAGAGATGGACAGTCACAGAGCCCACCGCTGGCCACAGCACATGGCAAGGGAGATGAGGGAGGACTCCTGGGCTGCTCCAGGAAAGCAGGGGAGGGGAGGACGGGGACAGGGAGGGGCACCTGAGCTGAGATGCAAGCTGAACCCACACAGCCTGGCCAAGGTGGACGAAAGAGGGGAAAGGGGAAGAGTGACCCAGGTGGATGGGCTTCCCTCAGTGAAGGCGTGGGGGTGATTCTGAGATGTCCCTGGTGGGTCCAGGAGCAAGGGGCGCAGGTGCGGCAGATAGAGCTGACCAGCTAGCTTGAGGCTGCTGGGCTGAGGATGCCCTATAGTGCCCAGTACTTGTGGGATATCTGGCTGTTGTTTCCCAGTCAGAATCCCGAGCTTGGACCATGTGTGTACCAGCCACAGAGTCACAAAGGAATGAGAGAGAGGCAAGATCAGGCCCTAGCCCCAGCCTCACCTGTGCTCAGCTTCGCTGCACAGGAAGCCGATGTGTCCTCTTCAGGAGACCCAGTTCCCAGGTGTGTGCTACCTTGGCCAGGGGCAGAGAGCAGGTGTCTAGCATGGCCCGGAGAGACTTCCTGATGCTCAGGGGCAGGGCATCCAACCACTGAGCCAACCTCCCCCAGACCCCAAGAGATCATGGCAGAAAGCTAAAGCAAGGCAGAAGGGAGCTCGGACTAATGAGCATTCCTGCCCACAAGGACAGCACACAGGGCAGGCGTAGGATGCACCTACAGCTCCTCCCTGCCCTGGCCCACAGTGGCCTGGAATAACCCAAATCGCCATCCTGCAAACCAACAGAGCATTCTGGTAAGCCACCCAGTGGCCGGGAGCCTGAGGTGTCCCTGACCTCAGCCCGGTGGGGGTAATAGCACCTTCGGAAGCCAGGACGATAGCTAGGTGGCAAACCCAGAAGGCTGCCTGCAGGAGGAAGGCAGCCCAACAGCAGCTGAACAAAGTTGCTCTGTGTTGTGAAGTTGCTTGTTGGTTTTGGCTGTTTCAAAAAAGCTTTGTAGTCCTTTTCGAAGAAAAAAAAAATGCTGGGAGTGTTTCCTGCTCTATGAACGGGCAGATCTCAGGCAAGCCTCCCTGGCCCCAGCGAGGAGGTGGCCGGAGGGGAGCCTAAGGGAGTGGCACATCCTCTGTGTGCAGGCAGTGTCCCAGCTGGCGAGTGCCTGCAGGGGAAGAGTCCCCAGGCCCCCTCAGGCAGCATTGTTGACCCTGGCAGCAGCTGCAGATAAGCTGGGCACAAAGGGGGTTGTATGTCTTTGGAGGGGCGCTCCCTGGAGACAGAGAGCCAAGGAATTTTCTCATTAGTAACAAGTCAGCCCAGGGGACCTTCGTGTTGGCCAGAGGGGTGCCAGGGCCTAGGAAAGAGGAGGAGGGCACCCTGGAGGGGGTGAAGGCGGCAGGTGTCATCTGCACTGAGGGGGCAGAACGGGAGTTGCTGGGTAGGCTCTGTAGCCTGTTCCAACTCACTGGGGGTGTGGATGGAGCTGAGCCAGGGCAGGGTCCGGAGGGCACACCCCAAACCCAGCAGCAGATGCAGCACTGGGCCCTGAGGGAGGAACCAAACACAGCAAGAAACCGTCCAAGCAACTGCTGGGTCTCTGCCCCTGTGGGCTGACCTGCTCCCTGCTGCAGCGTGGCCAGTGGGGTGCGGGTTGGGGGAGGCAGGGAGGGCATGGCAGAGCTAGAGAACTCACACAGGATTCACTGACAAGGGCCTCAGTGCCCGAGAGCGAAGCCAGCTGCCCACGAGCTACTTCTCTGGGTTTGGGGCTTGGAGCACAACGGGGCTCCCCGTAGCTCCTGCACAATGCGGGAATGAGGTCCTGATGGCCCCCATCTTCCTGCATGGTCAGCTCTATGTCCCTTCTGCAGCAGGGTTGCCCCTGCACTCCACAGAGCCAGAGGTGGACCAAGAACTGGGCAGATGTTCTGAGCAGAGGCCACTGTCTCTGGCTTCGAGGCCAGCATCCGGAGGACAGCAGCTGCAGTGACATCAGTACATCCCTTCTTCCTGACACAACTCCTCAAAAAATGTTTATACCAGTGGCTGGTGCAGTGGCATTGTAGGCTAAGCCTCTACCTGCATCCTATGTGGACACTGGTTTGAGTCACAGCTGCTCTACTTCCCATTGAGCTCCCTGCTAATGGTCTGAAAGAACAGAAGCTGGCCCAAGTCTTTGGAACTCTGCATCTGCACGGGAGACCCAGAAGAAACTCCTGGTTCCTGGGCTTCCAACTGGCTCAGCTCCTTGGGAAGTAACCCAGTGGATAGAAGCTCTTTCTCTCTCCCTCTGTCTCACATGCACACAGGTGCTCCCCACTCCATTCCTTTCCTGGTGGGAGAAGTATCAGGCTTCCAGCTTGAGACTCAGGCATAGATGATGACCTAATGGCCGCTGGCGTCTCCTGGGCACACCATGTTGAGCCTCTGGAACAGTGACCAGCAGGTGCCACTCACGGTGGCAGCCAGAGAAACACACGCCGGCTCTCCTGGAAAACAGTCCCCTGGGGCTTGGGTCAGAGCCTTGTCTCCTGTCTTCCCCCAACTCACTCAAATACTGCTCCCTGTGGTCAGCAGACAGAGCCAGCAAACCAGATCAAACCATTTTATTGTGTAATTTTCATCTACCAGAAAAGTACTAAAAATATAAATATTAATTATCTAGAAAATACTCAGAATAGAGCTATAATCTTCCTCCTCCTTCAAACCGGGGCCGACCACCTCCTCCTCTTCAAGCTGGTGGGTTCTACCCCTGCAGCTTCCTCTGCCCCTCACCTGACATGCCTGCACACAAGTCCCATCTTCCTGGGAGCTGCTGCAAGCTCACACTGCAGTGTACAGAGGCTGAGTAGGTGGGCTACTGTGGACCTGGGGAAACAAGACACAGGGCCCCAACTTGCTGTGCAAGATTCTGGGTACCTTCTTAAGACCTTGCTCTCCTAGGGATTAGCCACCCCATAAGGGATCTTTGGGGACGTGGCTACCATGCTGCAGCCACAGGAAGGCAAGGCTCGCCAGCCAGGAGGGCTCTGGATGGATGGACGGGTGGGTGGGTGGGTGGATGGTCTGTGCTGAGCCCTTTGGGATGGTTCCTGCTGGGCTCTGAGTAGTGGTCACCCCCATGGCCCAGGCAGCATGTGCAACATCTGAGACCACATTTCACATCTGGGGGCTTTCTCAGGCAGCAGCAGCAGTCTGCACAGGGGTGGGGAGGTAGCTCATGGCAGTCATGAGCAGCTAGAGATTGGAGCAGGGTTTCTTGGCAATGGAAATGTGACAGGAGGCTGAACTCCTCTGGGACCACCCTAGATCAGATGACTGTGATTTGGGTGTGAAGGGCACTTGGGCAAACCTGGGCCTGTACCACGTGCATGTGTAGCTACCATATTGCAGCTGGCTACAGCTACCCTGGTCCTGGGGGTTCAGTTGTCAAGTTCCATGGCAGAGAAACACTCAGATGTGCTGGTATGCATTGGCGAGACTGGACTTGTTCCTAGAGCTGCCATTTGAAGCTGTGCCTGGGGTATGTTGTGTGGTATCCCAGAGTTCTCTAGAACAAACTCACAGAACTACAAAATGAGAGCTCTGAGATGGCCTCTCTGCCATCAGGGCTAGACAGCACATCCTTGGGGATGTGCTGGCCACTGGAAGGCAGCAGGAGAAGACTCGTGGTAGGAGAAGAACACTGATGTGAGTTAAGCCAAGAGCCAGGGAAAGTGGAACAAACATGGTCAGTCCCACCCAAAGACCCTACAGGGAGGAGCAAATTATAAGGGCAAAGCAGGCCTGATGGGAAGGCCCAGGGCAGCGGGGCACAGCACCAATTTGATTCCAGGTGTACAGCGCCCCCAACTCCGCTCCACTCCACTGACCTCCCTCCAATCCCTTAGAGTCTGGCTCCTGTGTCTCCCAGGCCAGCACTGGGAGCTGCCTCATCCGGGCAATGGGCTGAGCCCTAGGGAGGCATCCTGATCCCTAGTGCCTTCCCTCCCTTGTTCCTGGCCTCACCTTCACCACCTTCTCTACTTCCACTCCATGCTCCCTCCTCAGGACCACCTGCAGGTTTACTGGGTCAGTCCCTCGAAACAGAATATGCATCTATTTTGCTGCTTCTGCTGAGCCATGTGCACTTGCTTGGTGAGGGAGTCAAGCAGGTTATTCCATGCTCCCTGGATAGGCATGGCACTCCATCGGATTCTATGGGGTCCATCTGGAGCATCTGGACAACAGGGTTCCTACCTTAGGTGAGCACTCAAGGTCTCAGACCTGGCCAGCACCTCCTCTGCTGACCATCCTTTAGCCTCCTACTCCAAGGGCAAAGGCAAGGCAGTTATTGGGGAGCTCTGTTGCCTTGGGACCCCCACCCTCCAAAAGGAGCCCTGGCTGGGCTGAGGTCAGGGTATGTGGCTTTCCAGGCCAGGGCCCATCAGCAAGCCAAATCCATCATGGCTCCCCTCAACCTTGCTCCCTCTCCAGGTAAGGGGGCTTCTGGGTCACCCAAGAGGACAGGGTACAGAGGGAGAAGAACAGGGGACTGGGCAGCAGGGAAGAGGCAGGAAAAAAGAATTCTTCCAAGGAACATTGTGTAGGTCTGGTGGCCCTGCTGTTCAATAAGAAGCCAGGACAAGCTCAGTCTAGCATGAGTTCTAATATCTGAAGGCTGCAGCTGACTCCCAGAAGAAATCTGGGGTCAGGGATGGCACCCGAGTCCCTCTGCCTCTGCAGACAAGACGTTCTAGCTAGCGCTGCTCAAGGACTCCCATGCGGTGACCCACATGGGAGAACCTCTTGCTCCGTGTTGTGAACGCACAAGGAAGATACAGGCATGGCAGAACTGGACAAGGGCCCATGTCGCTCATGGAGGATACAGCAGAGGGAAGAATGAGGGGTGCTTGACAGGGCAGACGAGAGGCTCTACTCAAAGGACAGCAAGTCGGGGTGAGGGCCCTCATTGTCCAGGCTGGAGGTCCGTGCCTGAGGTGGAGGACTGCCACTCTCCCAGGACTCAGCCAGGCTGATGGGGCTCAGGCTGAGTCCAAGGCCGTTCCTGTCCATGAGGCTGGGCGAGGAGGCCCTTCTATGCTCGGTCATCTTTAGCTTGGGTTCCTCCTGGCTGTCCTTGTGGATGAGGTCGGGGACCGACAGGGATGCCTCTCCATTGGGCAGAGTCTTGCTTCCCTCTCCCATCTCCACACTGGCCACCTCTGGTTGGGATGTGTCTGCTGAGGCAGGCTGCTCAATGGGAAGGGAGTCTTGGGGCTGCCCAGGTAGCAGCTCTGTCCCATATTCCAGACTGCTGAGGACGGGCTGTGAGGAAATCAGCATGTCTTGGGTGGTCTTCAGGGCCCGGGGAGTTCGCTTTCTGGTTATGGGAGGTGGAGGTTCCAGCCGAGGGAAGGCTTCCTGCAGGACCGACCTGTAGGATTGAGGACAGTGACCACTTGGACTGTAAAAACAGGGTGATGCCAGTCCATGCTACATTCTTAACTCTCTTAGCTTACCTCCCAATGAGTGACCATTTGATTCCCTGGGCTCTTGCTTTTGAATTAGCAGGCGGCTCTTAGTAACTTCCACACAAACAGCTTCTGGCCCATTCTAGTCTCACTCAGATCAACGCAATGTGTAACCTCTAAGACACAACCTAAAAACCACTGACGACCTGTGCCACAGAGGAGCCTATGCAGTCAACCCCGCGGAGGAAGTTACCCAGCACAAGGCGCAGGCGTTCAAACCATCTGCGATGCACCTGTTAGGGCAATCTGGAAGAAGGGGGAGGGCTGCCGTGGCAGGGCTCTCTTGCTTCCACCTCGGGGGTTCAGTCTGAGCAGCAGTTCTCAGGCATCATTGGCTGGGAGAACTTCTGCTTATTGCTTGGGTTCCGACCCAGCCTTGTTAAGTCCTAGCTCTGTGACCTCCTTTATCTCTCTCTCTCTGGACTTGAGTTTATGGGAGATGCAAGGTATGTGCTGGGGTTCTTGTGAGGATTAGGGAAAATGAAGCAGATACAGTGTGCAGCACAGGGCTAGGCACACTGGGCTTACGGGAAACACGCCTCTAGTAACAGAGCAACGTTGACACTGGCTCCACCAAAGGTGACCCAACTCTTTCTTGACAATTTCACTTCTCCTTTCTTGGGGCTGTTCTCCTCTGGAGACAGCAGTTTCTCCATGTGCTCCTTCAGGAGCCCCCCAAAACCAGAGTGATCACAGGCAGGCTGGAAGGGCTCACCTATCATCCTCCATCCAGGTCCCGGATGCTGCGTCGGCTCCACCAGCCAGCTGGGCCTCCGCCGTCTTGTTGATCTCTGTCACGCCCACGCTACTGAGGCCGGAGGGCTCCTTTCTCCGCAGGAAGTCATTGACTTTGGCCCCCATGGCTTTACCCAGGTTCTTGAGGTGCTGGCTGCTGCCCACCCAGAGTCCCGGAGCACCAGGCTCTGCAGAGCTGGGAGTGGCAGAGCCAGGACCCATGGGGCTGGGGGCTGCAGGCCTGGACAAGTGTGGGAAGGAACGGCTTGTCTGGAGCTTTGGAGTGAGGGCTGTGTTCAAGTTCTCAAACATGCTGTGGTCCACTAGAACAAAGAAGGGCAAGAGACACAGATGAGAAGGGAGGACCGTGGGCCAAAGCCCTTATCTCCCAGCTCCTTTTTCCTTCCACCACACTCAAGACAGGTACCTTCATGAGGCTTTGGAATCACGAGGAGTCTTCAAAAAGGTCGTGGAAAATGTACATCATGACAAACCTGTGAATGTCAAGCATTTCTAGCACTGAAGCAAGCTGATTTTTCACTTCCATTTTCCACAAGCTTTCTGCAGCACTCTTGTAATTAAGAGCCAACATAACATGCTGTTGCACTGGAAAGCAGACTTTTCCTGATAGGACCAGAAGCTCTAATTCTGTCCCACCTGCATCCAATTGAGTCATAAAACATGACCCTGTTTCTTTAAGCTGCCTCCTTGATTCATGGCTTGACCCCTTATTTGGGGTCACTAGGCTCTTTGAAGGTGAGAGAAAATGAAGAGGGAGTAATGTAATAGGATGCTATTCCAGAAACACGAGTGCATGCTGAGCTCTGGGGCCCTGGGATGGTAGCTGGTGGAGACATGGCAAGTATAAGGCTTGGTGCTGGATGTTTCTGCTAAGTGCTACTGTACCCACACAAAATGGCTCAGCAGCTCCTCACCTCCTGTGTGGGACTTGGGACGGAGCGGGTGGGGGGCGGGGAGGAGGAGGGGAGCAGCTCTGGTGCAAATAACAAGTGGACAGGTCCTTGGGGCTGGGGATAGCTGCCAGCCCACTTCGTTTTCACCACAATCTAGCAGATTGGGGGTGTGGTAGGGTGTCTATTTACATGTGAGGAATGTAGGATTTGGGATATTTGAGGCCAAATAGCTAATTTACTGGTAGACTAGCAACTAGATTCTAGGTCTCCCAACCCAAAGTTCAAGGCTCTCTTCCCTACTTTGCCTTAGATCATGGAACGGCCACCTAAAAGGACCTTACAGAGGGCCCTTTCCTCAGGGATGTCTCTTTGCCTTGAATAATTAGCTCAAAAGACTGGGTATAGACCTACTGGATGGTAAGCATGTACAAGGCAGGGACCATGCCTCTTGCATTATTGCATCTTCAATCATTGGTTTGGGTCTGGTACACTAAATAACTCAAATCACCAAAACTCATTTTGTGGGTGGAGGATTGTGGTGACTTACAGGACAACTCCGAGGTTTGCTGTAGAAGTGGCTTGACGTCCAGGCTCTTAAGTTCTGGACACTTACAGCAGGCACCCTTTCCCTCCATGGCATTCAGCTTTGTGATCAAGGCAGCCAGACCTACCCTGAGCTCTTGGCATGGGGCCAAATGTTTCTGTCCACACCACTATTTCACATATTGGGTGCATCTGGGGTTAGGGGAGACCTCATTTTTTTCTTATCAATGCCTCTGCTGGGTGCCAGTCCTCTTCAAGCCTTTCCTAAGAGTGACTGAATCAGGACACATGCTTCTCTGTGGTTCTCCCGGCTTGCACTGCTGAGTCCTGGGTCAGAGAGCACCCAGTGCCTCTGGAACAGCTACCCTGACAAGGCTTTGGGCGGCAGGCACAAAGCCATGGGAGGAAGGGTACAGCTGTCTCTCTCTCTCTGAATGCTACCTGTGCAACTGCTCCATTCCAAGTGCAGAAGAAAGCAGGGTGGCGGATGTGCCAGGGAACTCTGAGTGTAGCATCCCTGTGTGGAGCCCTGGGCTCCAGGTGTAGTCTCAGCATGCTAGCAGGAGTTCCCTGCCCATTCACAGCAAGCAGATTATTATTATTTTTTTTTTCTCCAAAGAGTGCATCTTATCACACCATCCACTTAAGTCACAATCTGCTTATTATAGCCTGCGTCCTTCTTATTTTCTTTAATCGTGCAATCTTCTAAACTGGCAAAGATGATTTGCAAATTAAATCACTTCACTCTCCCCCTTACGACATCAGAGACACTGGAAATGCAAATCCTCCCAGCTCCTGGACCAGCTGCTTCTGTGGGGTTTCTTTATAGGAATTTTTAAAAAGGGAATTTTCCAAGCAGACACATTTATTTTTATAAATTGTACTGTCATGGTGACTTGTAAGTTATAAGCCCCTAATACTATTTTTAAAACACAATGTTGATATTGGGTCATGCACCATTATGAATCTCCTGAACTTCTTGTTCTCTGTTCTTGATGATGCAGTCTAAAAAACATCCTGGCTTCTTACGTAGTTTATAGACAGCCTTTTGTACACTCTCTTTACAGCTGTCTACATCTTTCTGGTAAATCTGTCTCTAACAAACTGCTCAGTTCCAAAGGGCTTTAGTGTGTTAAGTGCTTTTAATCTTCGGCATTGCCTAGCTTAGAGCGATGTACAACAGCAGGTATTTAACAAGTGAGTGTAATTGAACTTTGTACATGAGTTCTTAAAAACTGTACCATGGGCCGACAGTGTCAACCACTCACAATTTTTTCTACCATTTACAAAAGTCACTGGAAAATCTCTCTTGGTGGGAGTGGTCTACAGGGGATTTGCAATGCCAGACCAGGAGAAAGAGCCCTTCTGAAACAAGGGGACCTGTGATCAGGAGTTGCTCCATGCCCCCCACGACCTGCCCAGTCCAGAGGCCCCTTTCCTGCTGAAGCCCAGGAGACACATGCTCCCACACTCTGTCCCTCTGGCTTCAGGCCTAGAGGCTTGGTGGCTGAGGAAGCAATGGTGGTGAAACAAAGATGATGGTGGGAGCCCAGTTGGTGGTCTTCCCCACAGCACCCCCCGACATGCACATGTGCAGAGAGGGGGCATCTGGGGATGCAGGTAATTCATAAGAAAGGGCATATCTTACCTGTCCGAGAGGGGCTCGGAAAGCAGGTGGGAGGCAAATGAGAGAAAGACACGTTTTATGTAGTGACCAGTCATTTTGAGAGTGTCGCCTCTTGCCTGAGCTACCAACATTAACACATAGACAGAAGACACACACAAGACCAAGGCCCTGCTACCAGAGTAGATCCACCCCTGGAAATACCAGGTTCCCATCAACTTTTTAAAACCTAAACCCCAACAGGGTTATATACTGAAAACTCAAAACAGGTCCTGGGATGCTCAATATCCCATGTTCTTTCTGTTCCACAACATTTTGAGGCTCCTTTGCATTAAGTAGGTCTGAAATTCCTGGCTTGCAAGGGGATAGATTTGATAGACCAAGACAACATAATGGAATTACAAGTTTTCTGAGTCCTATGTGCACTTGACAGCAGCCAGCAAGATGTTTGACCATCTTGTCATCAAGTCAGCCACGGAAAGCCAACAGGCCCGGTAGGTAATAGCAGGGGTTAGGTGTAGGCTGGGGATCAGAAGTGCCCTGCTTTCATCACTACACTCATCATCCTTCTCCACACCCCTTGGTCCAAATGAAATTTCCAACACCTGTCATGTCACCATGGTATGCGGCTGCAATTTACACCCCAGTGCGGCCCAATGTTCCAAAGCAGACTTTGGGACCATTAACAGGAAGGAACTGGTTGTCTTCTTATGCATGCCAATGTATACGCAGTGGGGAATCAGACAACTCTAAGCTCCTCTAGGCAGAGGCTGAACCACCACATCCACGTACACACCCCGTGCAGGTAAAGTCTATTGCTATGGTACAGTAGGCTGCAGCTACCCAGTTGGCATAACATTTCCACCATTTATACCCAATGCACTGTTCTACACTTGGCTCATATGTTGCGATGATCTGGAATGGGGTATTTACCACTCATCTTTAAAGTGCTTTCATTCTCACTGTGATTACACATCACACCCAGGTGTTAGGTTTGCATTCTTGCAAAGCAAAGAGATAGTCCTGACCATAGTATTAACAGCAAACTGATTTTCTACAGGCAAAATGGTCTGGAGGAAGCTACAAACTGCAGTTCAGTCACTTGCTGAAAAGAAACCAACCCATCAAACACAAGATCTGCCCCTCTTCTCTTAGCACATTAAAGTATCTAGGCATAAAGGGACTTAGTGTTTGTATCTTACCTCCAAATCATTCAAATCAAACACTTCGGAGAGTGTTTGTATGTGAATGTGTGATGGAGAGAGTGGGGAAGAGGGAAAATCCATAAAGCAAATGTGCTAAAATATTAGCTAGAGGACAATCTGGGTATACAGTGTATGGATGTTCATACTGATTTATTTTTGTAACATAAACTGGAAAGTATTATTTCCTAAAAAAATGTTTAAAAATACCCCAAAGTTCAGAAAATATTCACTGGTAGAGGTCAGGTAGACAGAAGAGAAAAAAAAGTCATTCAGAGAGCACACACAGGGGTTTCCAGCACTGGGTTGGGAATGGCTTTGGTCAGCACTGGAGAGTAGGAACAATATTTCAGACAGAGTTGCAGAGCAAACAGCCAGCACCACCACCGTCCTTGTACCACAATCTTCTTTCTCTCTCCCTCCTTCTCTGGGTATTCTCAGTCACGGTGGACAACTGAGGGTTGTCAAGCCAACACCTGTGCCATGCTAATCCTGCTGGCCATGGGATCCATCACAGCACAGGGAGCTAACTCTGCCAGCAAGTGGAACCGTGGAACCTTGTGATGTCAACTGTGCTCAGAATGTTTGTTGCCCCGGCAACTTGGCCAGGCTCCTGAGTGATCTCCAGATACTGCAGCGGTCAGAACATGGAGAACTTCTCACTCCTCAGCATCTCTGGCCCTCGAATCTCTTCTTCCGCTCTGAGTACTTTTCCTAACAAAATATCATCACGTGCCACCAGCTTGCCAGGTACACCATGGTGTCACTAGGGCCACAAAGATGTTATTTTAAGATTTTCATTGAGTACTCTACTAGGTCATTATAGAAGTCATGGCCGGGTAAGGAAATCAGATTATACAGGGGGATAAAGCAATCATTCAAAAACACTACACTCAAGGAAAATTCCTCGCTGCCTATGAATTCCTGGCAAGGAAACAATGGGGGGAATGTGTCATCAAGATTTTTCCTCTAGAGCCTCCATCACAAGGTCTGCCTACAGACCTTCAGAGAGCCAGAGAGAGAAAGAGGTGGGAGAGGGA